CTTCTTAAGGAAAAAGAAAAGAAAAGGTGGACTGAAAGTGGCCTAATGGCTGAAGGACATACATCATGTATGTGGGACCAGTCTGTGAATAAATATCAGGACACTGTCCCCTGTGCTTTCTATGACTTTTCTGGCACTGTGTGGGTTAGGTATGGCAATAATTCTCATCTAAGGGCCGTCTTAGACCTTTCTTTACATTGAGATGTGGAGCACCAGGATCTCTTGCTCCAAAGCTTGACTACTGCTAGTCAGAGGTCCCAGTGGGTTAAACCCTACAGACTTTGCTGGAACTTTAACAACAGCAGCAGATGCAGTCTCCACTCCTGCAGGTTTTCAGACACCCACGTAAAGAGGTGAGCCCACCCCAGTTCAAATTGTGGCAAAATAAATTAGGACTGTTGGCACCTTCCCAATCGCCTCCATGGCTTCAATCTGGGAAGGCGCCAAGATTACATACCGTGGGTCAATCTGGGGACCTCCACCTTGTCCCAAATCCAGTCAGAAATAAGTTCAGGGGCGGGGGCTAATGCTTAATTAAACATGTAGTCCAGAAAGAGGTTGGGGTAAGGAGACTTTCTGTCTCCTACACCCTTCCAACAGAGGCTGAGGGTGCCTTCCCAAAGGATCAACCCCTCCACTCAATATATTTTCAGCTAATAGGGTGATCCTGCAGGGTGCATGTGATGCTCCAAAAGTGTCTTTCCTTTTCCCTTCACTCTGCAAGTTCAAGGCCTCCGCTCAACAGACCAAAGGGGTGTGTCAGGCAGGAAGTTAGTTAGGCCTACCTTCTTTCAAAAGACACAACCAGCTATCAAAAAGAGGCTCTGGCAGGGTTTTCCTGACCTGCTTGCCTCTCCCTCTGACAGCCATGGATCACCCTGAGCCACCCACCTTGACCCATCCTAGCTTCTGATTTGAATCCAGAATGTCCCTATTTCCCCTGCTAGTGCCACCAGCTCCAAGCCCGGGGAGGAGGAGCCAGCCCTTGTGCCGAGCGGTGGTGGCGGCAGCGGTGGTGGCTGTCAAGGGAGTTGCCTCTCTATCGCCACCACTGTGGGCCTCCTCCTTTGGGCAACTCGTAGAAGGTGCTGGAGAGCAGGTGAGGAGGAGGAGAAGCTGCTGCCACTGAGCACCAACCTAGTGTGATGTGCCAACTCTGAGATGCAGGCAGAAGGCAGGGCCACCCTGGGTGGGGAGGAAAAGGGAGTGCAGCAGAGTGCAAGGAGTCTTTCTTTCTTTCTTTCTTTCTTTCTTTCTTTCTTTCTTTCTTTCTTTCTTTGTTTCTTTCTTGATTTAAAAAATGCTTTGTGTGTCTGCATCTGAATTTGCTCCCTTCTAAAATTTATTTATTGGTGTGCGATTTTCTTTTTGTAAATCTACCAAAGAAGATGGTAGAGTAAAAATGGGATTAAGAGTGTTTTTTTCCAGGATGGTGTGCGTTGTGTCCCATTGTTATAGTGGTGGTGGCGCCTGCCCTTCTTCTGCTGGGTGGGAGACGAAAAAGAGGGGTTGAGGAGGGTCAGTTGAGGGGGAGTAAGAAATGTCCCTATTTTTACCAGAGGCATGTTGGAGGGTATGTGAATCCAACTTGTCCAGTGCCCAAATAGGCCCAGTTTTGCTCAGGCCTTGGGCCTTGACTGAATCCAGTGCATAACCCTAAAATAAATCTTGTTCCAGTAAGAGGCAGCAAAGTAAAAAGAGGGAGTTGGCTTCAGTGTGTGGCCACCCGATTTGGGCTGTCTCATTGACACTGAAGGCTGCTGCTGACCAGACTGCAGCTAATTAATTACTGCTTCCTGAGTCTTCCTTCTGTATATGCAGGCAAATGAGTGTACTCATTAGAGTTTTCAACCAATCCTGGCTGTACATAAGGATATACTGTCATGAGGGCTGACAGGAAAGTGCTGGGCCCCTAGAATAGGCTAGAGGCTTGAAATGCAATGGGCTCACATAAAATAACAGGGAAGTCTCCCTGGCTTGACTCCTTCAGCTTGAGATGTTGCTGGACGCTGAACTCCGACTCCACCTCTCCCCTCTAGCTTCTCACTCTGGAGCCTTTCCCAACAGATGGAAACATGGGGATGATCCTGTCTGGGCTCTGGGCCTGGTCTGGTCCGCTGCTCAGCAACACATAGGACTCTCTAGATCTGGGTTTGAGAGGAAGGAGAGCCAGCAGGACTGCTGCAGGACGGCTTGTGTACTCTCTGATTCCTCCCTGTTTGTGTCTGTGTCCTCCAGCCCTGTCCTGGAAGGGCCCTCTTCTGACCTCCCACCCCACCCCCTGATCACTCCAACCTCCTGCTTCCATCATCTCCTAGCTTGTTCCCCAGCCTTTTCCCAAGCTGTCCCAGCACCAGGACCTGGGGTCAAAGCGCTCCTCTCCCTTGAAGTCCCTGGGGGGCTCCTGGTCGGGAGGTTCCCCACCTCCTCATCCAGCCAGTCCCTGACGTATACATAGTTTTAAAAACGTGTGTGTCTTTCATGTGCTACATTTTATGTATACAGTTAGATTTAGTGCACTAGCTGGGAACAGATCACTAGCCTCAAGAGCATGATATTCAGTACTTTGAATGATGCCACACTTGACATGATTGTAATCTTAAACTTTTTATTGGTTCAGATCACTGAATTATTCAAATTAGTGGTTAAGAAGAAATTAGTGCTCATGTTTGCTAATGTAGTCTCATGTACCTAAAGAGACCCATTATCAGAAATATAGACGAGACTGTTAACATTTATTTACATACTTTGATTGGTTATTTGTGTTGCACTCCTGGGACCAAGTCACAAGAAACACTATTGCTGATTTTTTTTCTGGACTACTCAGTACAAGCTTCTAGGGACACAATTGCTAATTTGGTTTGTACTCCTGAGATCAAACTCCCAGGAACATAAATACTGTAGTAATAATTCTGTTCCCCATAGTAAAGGCGTCATTTTGCAAGGGTATACAAACATTTTCAAAAGTGAGGGCAGACAAACAATTTCACTGCCTCAGAAAGAAATGGAGAGTGTGATTTCTTAACAAAGCTCATTGAGTGGATCGAAGAATACAGAACACCCTAAAGTAGTGATGAAATTGCATCTGGAAATATATTATCTACTAAGAAAAAGAGTAAGGCATTTGCATTTTTATAATTTTAGTTATTGCCTGGGTAGTTTCCTGAGATCTGAATGCAGACAATAGTACTATCGTGCTGGTTTACTGTTCTCTCCTAATATCTATATATACTGTGCTCAGCATACACAATGGCTTGCTTTGCATGACATGCTAAGACAAAACTTAGATTTGTGAGGTTTCACAATTGTGCAGCCTTCTGGAAAGACACCTACAGTAGCTATGCTCCTCCCTGGTCCTTATACCAAGCTTTCCCTTAGCATGTCATCCAAACCAGGACTGGTGATTAAGCTCTCTGTTCAGTAACCACCAGCAGTAACCAAGAGCAAACCTTGATTACAGATCCTAATTTGTGAGGAGAGAGCTTAATCACTTTTGCTTAATTTAACACAGTGTAGCTGCAAAAAGATTTGAGGAGGAGTAGAACAGTTGTGAGCTTCTCTCCGGGAGCCCATTCATTTGTATATTCTTAAAAACATATTGAGGGCACAAGGAGAAGGGGACAACAGAGGACGAGATAGTTGGACAGTGTTCTCAAAGCTATGAACTTGAGTTTGACCAAGCTGTGGGAGGCAGTGGAAGACAGGAGTGTCTGCTGTGCTCTGGTCCATGGGGTCATGAAGAGTCGGACACGACTAAACGACTAAACAACGACAAAAACATATTCTGTGTGCAGTGTGCATTAAGGTTAAAAATGGGCATTTTTTAAAAAATTATTTTTTTTAAAAAACCCAGTTAAATTCTGTCTGGTCTTAGCTGGGAAGGTGTTCCTGAAAATTTGGCCCAGAATAACGATACAAGTCATTTGGGTGAACCATGAGAATATGCCAAATCATAGCTGTCAAGTGTCCCTTATTTGAAGGGACAGCCCCTTATTCCAGCACCATGTCCCACTGCTGTCCCTTATTGATGGATGTCCCTTAAATGTCCCTTAAATTATGTCCCTTAAATTTCAAAGGAAGCAGCTCCTCTCCCTCCCTCCCTGCTGGCCAGGTAGGAGGGAGGCTCCAACTGTGTTGCTTGGCTGTGTTGCTCACCCAATAAGAAGACTAAGAACGACTGGGGGGGGGGTGGAGCTTGCATGCCTTGTGTGTGGCTAGTTAATGCAAACTGAGGGGGGGTTTGAATGATGGACGCCATTTTGTTGCACGTGCTGCTGCAAACTTTGCAGTGCAAAGCTAAGCCGGGGAGCCATCTTAAATTGAGGCTGCATAGGCCTTGTGGTGCATGTGATTCAGATTCTATTCAGTTGAACCTCTGGTTACAAAGTTGGTTGGACAGTGTTCTCGAAGCTACCAGCATGAGTTTGACCAGACTGCAGGAGGACAGGAAGACTGGAGTGCCTGGAACAGTTGAGGCTGCAGGTCCCTTATGTTGGCTGCTGATCCCTTATTTTCAAGGCTGCTGGTCCCTTATTTTCAAATCTGTAAGTTGACAGCTATGTGCCAAATACCTTGGTGATAAGACAGGCATATAAGGAATCAGACACCTAAGCTCTCCTGGACTTAAGTTGTTATTGACATAGTCACTTAATACAAGAACCTTGAACTTGATTTGGGTAGCAAGTTATCTTGTGAGACTTAAGAGCTAGTTTTTCAATTCTAATATTGAATTACAATATAAAAATGTGTTTTGTGAGTATGGAGATTATGGAGAGAGACATCTTACCTCTGCAGATTGTTTCTGCTGCATTTAGCATATGCATAAAGTATAGCAAGGAAAGAGATAGAACATTTATGTTTTTACAGTTTTGTAAACCACTGTGATACATTTTTAAGATAGAGTTTAGTAAATATTTGTGATCAGAACAGGATTTAATCAATGTTCATCTCTCTGTTTTATTTCAGAGGCAGAAAGCATTTTAGTTATGAATGCAAAAATAGATAACAAATCTGCTGTGTCTGAGTTTCTACTCCTGGAGTTCTCAGCAATACGAGACATGCAGATTCTATACTTCCTTCTGTTCCTAGTATTGTACCTGGCAATTATATTCGGGAATCTTCTCATTGTCTCTGCAGTAGCGTTTGATCGCCGCCTTCACACTCCTATGTACTTCTTTCTGATGAACTTGGCCATCCAAGACCAAGGAGCTATATCAGTCATTATCCCCAAATCCATAGCCAATTCTCTCATGAATACCAGATACATATCTTATGCTGGATGTGTTGCTCAAATCCTCTTATTTGTTTTCTTTATCTCATCTGAGTTTGCTCTTCTTACAGTCATGGCATATGACCGATACGTTGCCATTTGCAATCCATTGCAATATGAAATGGTGATGAACAGGGCAGCCTGTCTAAAATTGATTGCTGGTGTGTGGGTTGCTGGTCTGCTCTATGCAGTTCTGCACACTTGTGGAACTTTTGCAACTCCATTCTGCTCAAACATTGTCAATCAGTTTTTCTGTGAGATTCCACAGTTACTTATACTTGCCTGCTCTAATCTATACCTAGCAGAAATTGGAGCTTTAGTAGTGAGTATAACATTTGTGTTTGGATGTTTTGTCTACATTGTTGTCACTTACGTGCACATCTTTACTGCAGTTCTGAAAATCCCTTCTGTTCAGGGAAGGAAAAAGGCCTTCTCCACTTGTATACCCCACCTTGTTGTCTTCTCCGTATTTTGTTTCACAGGATGTTTTGCTTACCTTAGGCCTCCCTCTAAAACTCCATCTGACCTGGACTTTGCATTAACTGTGATGTATAGTCTTGTTCCACCCATGTTCAATCCAGTAATCTATAGCATGAGAAATAAGGAGATCAAAAATGCTTTATCGAAACTGTTGGGTTTGAGGCAATCTTCTCTAGATATATCTTCCAGGATTGTTCTGAAAAGGTGAACTCTCTCTGTGTAAGTATAATTAAAGGGAGTTCCTGAAACACATCATCATTGCCAGTTACAGCTTCCAGATAAATTTAGATATGCAGACTCAACATCTGCCCTGTGTCACATGGTTATCTTGCATTTATGCAGCTCAGTTGTATCTTTCACACTTTTGCTTTTCAGATCACATGCCTTGTTGATGTACCCATTTATGTACTTACTTATAGCCCACTGATCTGTTGCATGATTCTAAAAGTGGCCTACAGCAGGCTGAACACATTTCAGCAGGCCTTAATCCTCTGATTTATGGATAGTAAGAGGCCATATTTCTCGTCTGCTCTGTCCCCCAACAGCATGCAAACAGTGATTTGACCAGAGTATTCAGGATTTCACAAAAGTGATGACACCTAGATGAACATATTGGGGTGGGGGGAAAGAATTCACAGATTTACTGGAATGTGAATTAGCATCTCAACAAGAGACGTGCATGCAGTTTGGAGGCAGTCATGGAAACAAACACTGTCCTCTGATAAGGAAGTGTCACAGTGCTTGCAAAAATACAACCTACAAAAGTGTGTTGCCATCTAAGGCAGGATTAGACGAAAATACAGGACAACGCAGAGGCAGACTTTTGCATCACTACTGTAATAAAAACAGACCAAGGGGGCAAGGGAATGGACCACTCCCTTAGAGACAAATGCAAGGGTATAAGAGCTGGACACAGGAGCACAGGTAAATGTGATTGTGGACAGACCTTGAGTCAGCAACTAGTCAGAGTTGTTTAGAACAAAAGCCAATCTGGAGTCAAAAATGCAGAATTTGACAGTTAAACAGATAGAAGGATTGCATATTGGCTAGATAGGGATCGTATGTCATTTAGATAGGAACCTAGGGACACATGGACATGCCTTGATTGGGATTAGGAATTAGTTAAACAGGGATTACCAATTTGATTCCCTGCGGGGGAAATAAAAATCCTAGAAGGGGCTGTGAGATTTTTGCTAGGGCAAATGCCAATTATAGGTGAAAACTGTCTAACCCAAGAAGAGGTTTCAGTAAGAATGCCAACTGGGGTTTTAAAGTTCTCTGTAAATAGTGTCTGCTTGAAACTAGATATTGTGCCTCACATAAATAAGCATGTCTAAAATGAAGTGTTGTGCCTTAAAAGAGTTATTATTAAACTGGAACCCACAATGAGTTTAAATACATTAAAAGTTTATTTTTCTTCCTTCTCACTACTTTGAATCTCTGGGTTGGCAATAAGTGGACACAGGGCATCCTTCACATACCTGTAAGTAGAACACCTGGCTGCAGTTTAAATAAACACACATTACCACAAAGATTTAAATCTGTTACTTGGGAGAGTTGAATTGTTTAAACACCTAGAAAATGAATCATGTTGTCCAGCTCTGATCTTTGGTGAGGGACTCTGACACAGAGATCACTGACACAATCTTTCAAAATCTTAAAAATAAAATAAAAAGCCTTGTCCTTTTAGAAAACAAAATAGAAGACAGGAAGTTCACATTGGGGAAGTAATTCCACACAAAGAATTCCTAGATCCAACAGAGATCAAGTTGCTAGGTAGGTGAAGTTAGCAGACTCCAAGCAGTCTCTGTACCTCCACTCTGCTGCTTCCTGGAACAAGCTGCAGTTGTAGCATGGCTCCCAGCTACAAAAGAGCCCAAGTGAATTGAATCTTCCCAAAATGTGATTTTACAGCCTGCATCTTTGCTAACTCAAAGATTGCATCTTCCTTTCTGTAACGAAACCAAGCTCTTTTCCTTTTAAGTCATTTAGAACATTTTACTTCTTTGTTTTGTTTTGTTTACTTCCAATGGATGGAGATTTACCTGCTGCAACTTTTGAAACTATGTGAGTAGATATCTTCACCTACTTGCTAAGCTAAAGTGTTTATCATTTATTATAGCTGAAGTATTTTCTTTTTTTAATATAATTTTTATTAACAAACCAATCAAATCACATTAATTCCAAATTACAAAGCCAAATTTTTAAATTTTTGTTGGGGGTACCCATGCTTCAAGCTCTGAAAGGGATCCAAACATCTCTCTTGCTGCTGCTTTACTATTCACGGTTCTGTCCAAATAATATTCACAGTTCTGTCCAATCTTCACTTTATTATTTTCCTCATCTTCTTGTTGTTATCATAAATTCCTTTCTTTGTGACCTCTGATAGTGTCCACAAGCGGGTTAAAAACAAACGTTGTTATATCCTGTGTGAATTTTCCATTCCTCCAAGAGCCATATTCAAACAGACAGATGCCATTTCAACACTTCCGTACAAAACATTCTTAAAGTCTGCCCTTTAATCCTCGCAGGCCTGTCAGTCTCTCCTCAATCTTCTTAGGGGGTTCTGCCAGGTCAAGCTCACAGTCTGATATAATAACAAAACCATGGTCTCCTCCCCCTCGATCGTAAAACCTTCAGCCAGGCTTGCTTCTTAATGAGTCTCTTTTTATAACTGCGTCATTCCAAAGGCCTTTCATCCCTTTCCAGATATTACACAAGCCATGTCTTTGATTAGTAATTCATTTCCACACTGTTCTTAATCATCCCGCTTATAATCAGTAATTGCAATGATTCTTCTTGGGGGGATGATTGTATAGCTGAAGTATTTTCAGGGGAAATGTTTGTTTAAAGGTGGATAGTGGCAGATGTAAATCCAACTAAGTTTTAATGTGCTTGGAGAAATCACAATTGTATCAACTCTACTATGAGAGGTTGAAGAATCTCCCTTCCAAACCTCTTTCTGCAACAAAATTGCACAAAATAGTCACAATTGAGAATCGTACTTGAGAGCTATCTTTTCCCAGGCATGGGATACCTCAGATTTTCAGGAATGATAATGACCCTCAGATTGCATCACAAGTATTTAAGAAGTTTACTATATATATTTATTCAATGTTACCTCTAGTCCCACATACAGAGGCTTCAGTCTAGTGGGCTGGCAGAAATCAAAGTGAAAATTGCAAAGCATTTGCTGAAAAAAAGCCTTCGACTAACACAGGTTCTTATTTGGCATTACTAAATTACAGGGCCACATCACAAGAAAAGGGAAGATCCCCTGCTGAGCTTCTGTTTCATGGAAAAGTCAGGACCAGACTACAGTGTGCAAAACATCTTAACTCTGACGTAACACAAGGTGTTCAGTCTCGGTTACATAAGAGATTGAGACAAAAATAATGTCACTGATCGCTTGACAACTAAAGGTGACCTCAGATAGGCAAGTATTGCAATGCAACAGACAGCAACTCTTCTGGAGATCGAAAAGGAGAAGAAAGAATGGCAGAAGTGGGAGGAACACAGCAGAGGGGGGGAATGGAGCAGGGAATACTGAGCCAGTCATATGTCACACAACTCTCTGCATCATGAAATTAATGATAGAATGATGCCGGATATAAAGATAATATGGTATTAGTGATATAGTTGAAAGGTGTATGTAAAAATGATCTACAGAACAAAGGTGAAGTCAGAATAATATTATGTCAAACTTAAACAAAATGAAAAAATGGGAAAAACTGGAGGCATAATAGTTGAAATGTATAATATGAAATAAGATTTGAAAGAAGGTGAGGTATTGCTGAATAAGACTCTGTAAAAGGGAACACAGAAAAGGGAGATGTGAGGGAGTCTGGAAAGAGGATCATGAGAATAATATCTAAGAAATTGGTTTTTTTTTCTTTCTTATGTCTTTTTATGTCTTTTTTCTTTTGTTTTCTATGAGGGTTTTTCACTGTGTTTTTCTGTTTTTTGAATGGTGTTTTTTCTTTTTTCTTATTCTGTTTTGTGAAGTTTGTTTTATTGTTTGAAACTTTAATAAATATCTTTAAAAATAAATAAATAAATAAAAACGTTATTCAAAAAAGGGTCTGGTGACTTCTGTTTCAGAGTATCTGAAGAAGTGTGCATGCACACAAAAGCTTATACCCAGAATAACTTAGTTGGTCTCTAAGCTGCTACTGGACAATTTAAAAAAACATTTTTTTTGGGGGGGGGAGGATTCTTTTAAAGACTGATTTAGGCCTTTTTTTAATTATTTTTTATAACTTTTATTTTGCTTTAAACAGGTACATATAAATATAAACAACCAAAATTACAATGGAAAATTCCTTAATAGTAATGAAAAAAAACTTTAAAAACTACAAAAAATATCGAAGTACATGACACAGAAAATAAGCAACTATGGGAAAGATAAAAGGAAAAAAAAGAAAAATAGGGGGAAAAAGAAAAAGAAAAAGGAAGATGAGCCAAAGCAGGAAAGCTAATCTATTGTACACTTCCGTCAAGCTCACAACAGATCATTATTCTTATCAATTATCTCTATCTGCGTTCCAAAGGAATCCCTCATCTTGGTATCAGGGAACATTTCTCTATGCGGTATCATTCTAAACATAGCCAGATCTTTCTTGCTGAGCCCTTGTCCCCTAAATAATTATTTAAACATTCCCATTCTTCTTTCACCAATTTTTTAGGTTTATCTCTTATTGCACCTGTCAGCTTTGTGAGCTCCAAGTACTCGCACAATTTGACTACCCATTCCTCTTTAGTGGGTGTATTTTTATCTTGCCAGTGTTTTGCCACTATAACCCTTGCTGCTGACGTTGCATACACAAATAGCCTAGTTTTGTTTTAGGGAATATTATCTGAAACCATTCCTAGTAAAAATTCTTCCGGTTTCTTGCTAAATGTAGTTTTTATCAATCTCTTTATCTCTTCATAAATCATGTTCCAAAATCTTTGTATCTCTAGACAGGACCACCACATATGGAGAAAGAAAGAAGAAAGAAAGAAAGAAAGAAAGAAAGAAAGAAAGAAAGAGCTTCCAGGAGAAAGCTTCCAGGGACACAATTGATCATTTGTGTTGGGCTCTTGAGACCAAACTCTGAGGAGTGTGTGTGTGTGTGTGTGTGTTTTTGTGTGTTTACACATGTTATAATTTTCCACCCCATGGTAAAAGCTTCATTCTGCATGAACATACAGATAGGTTCACTGTTC